CCTTGGCTTGCAGATCACCCGGGACAGAGCACGCCGCACCATTACCCTGACTCAGTCACACATGGTGCAGCAGGTCCTTCAGCGCTTCGGCTTCACGTACTCCTCGCCTCAGGCCACTCCTCTGTCTACTCGCCACTCGCTCTCAGCTCTGCCTTCGGATGAGTCCGTAGAGTCGAGTGGCCCGTACCCAGAGCTTGTTGGCTGCCTCATGTACCTGATGACCTGCACACGACCTGACCTTGCATACCCTCTTAGCATTCTTGCACGCTATGTTGCTCCTGGGAGACACAGACCAGAGCACATGGCTGCAGCGAAGAGGGTGTTGCGCTACTTGTGCAGTACGTCGGGCATGGGGCTAGTGCTTGGAGGGCGGAGTCCAGTGGTCCTCACTGGGCACGCGGACGCTTCTTGGGCTGACGACCAGGCTACGCAGCGGTCGTCACAGGGTTACACCTTCAGCCTTGGTTCCGGCTCTGTTTCGTGGCGGGCTACTCGCTCGTCTTCTGTTCTTGGCTCGAGTTGTGAGGCTGAGATCTACGCTGGGGCCATGGCTGCACAGGAGCTTCGCTGGCTCACCTACCTGCTGACCGACCTTGGAGAGCCGCCTCATTCTCCTCCAGTCCTGTACGTAGACAACAAGGCCATGCTGGCCTTGTGTCGAGAGCAGCGACTGGAGCACAGAACAAAGCACATTGCTCTCCGCTACTTCCTTGCTCGTGAGCTACAGCAACGTGGACAGTTGCGGCTTGCGTACGTGGCCTCTGAGGCCAACACTGCTGATGTCTTCACCAAGGCACTTCCGCCTTGTGATCATCAGCGCTTCTGCACTCAGCTGGGTCTTGTGCCCGTCTTGCCTCACTTGCTCTCCTCTTGACCTTGCTTGTACTCTCACATATTTATATACCTGCTCTTGCTTGTCTAGCTTTATATATATGTGTGTACTCTTGCATGTGAACTGGCCGTGTGGCCTTGACCCTGTGCTCGGACTGTGTGGTGACTTTGTGATCCACCCTGAGCTTGCTTTGCTTTGCTTTGCTTGACTGGTCTTGTGACCCCTTGTTCTCCCCCACTTTGCCTATGGGGGTGTGTCAGAACATTATAGCTTATGCTGTTGTGTAGGCTATAGTGGGGTATCCCATAGGGGGTACAACCAATTAGGGTTTCATATTTGTACTCACTTCATTTTCATAGTTCACTCATTCTCGTTCTCATTATCACATACGCTGCCAGTCTTGTTGCTGAGTCTGAGTCTGTCTGTCCTCCGTCCGTCGGGGGTGAGTGTGCTCTAGGCACGGACGTCCTTGAGGACAGACAGGAGGACCTTGAGTGTCTTGCAGCCGCTGCGCCTCATCTCATGCCCATGCTGATTGCCCCTGAGGGAGACCCAGATGCTCCAGACATCCCGACCCCGCGCTCTTACGCTGAGGCGATCGCGGGTGAGTACTCCTCTCAGTGGCAGTCAGCCATGGACGCAGAGATGGCATCCTGGAAGTCCACTGGCACTTACGTCGACAAGGTTCCCCCTCCTGGGGCGAACATCGTCAGTGGCATGTGGATTTTCAGGGTGAAGCGGCCGCCGGGTTCTCCGCCTGTCTACAAGGCTCGTTACGTTGCTCGAGGCTTCAGTCAGCGAGAGGGAGTAGACTTCTTTCAGACCTTCTCCCCCACCCCGAAGATGACCACTCTTCGGGTGCTACTGCACGTTTAGCGTGACTACGAGCTTCACTCTCTTGACTTCAGCACAGCTTTCTTGCAGGGCAGCCTGCACGAGGAGATCTGGCTGCGCCGCCCTCCGGCGGCCGGTCTACGGTCTCCGTCAGGCGCCACGTGAGTGGCAGGACACACTGAGGACTACTCTTGCGGCACTTGGGTTCACGCCTTCTACAGCTGACCTGTCGCTGTTTCTGCGCACCGACACTTCGCTGCCGCCGTTCTACATCCTCGTGTACGTCGACGACTTGGTCTTTGCCACTGCTGACACTGAGGCTCTCGCCCACGTGAAGTCGGAGCTGCAGAAGAGACACACGTGCACAGACCTGGGTGAACTGCGCAGCTACCTTGGCTTGCAGATCACCCGGGACAGAGCACGCCGCACCAGCACACTGACTCAGTCACACATGGTGCAGCACGTCCTTCAGCGCTTCGGCTTCACCTGGTCCTCAGCACAGGCCACTCCTCTGGCTATAGGTCACTCGCTCTCAGCTCTGCCTTCGGATGAGTCCGTAGAGCCGAGTGGCCCTTACCCAGAGCTAGTTGGTTGCCTCATGTACCTGATGACTTGCACTCGTCCTGACCTAGCATACCCTCTTGGCCTTCTGGCCCGCTATGTGGCTCCTGGCAGGCACCGAAAGGTGCACAGGGATGCTGCAAAGAGGGTATTGCGCTACTTGTGCAGCACATCGGGCATGGGGCTCGCGCTTGGGGGAGGGAGCCGAGTTGTTCTCACTGGGCACTCAGACGCTTCTTGGGTTGACGACCAGGCTACTCAGCGGTCGTCACAGGGTTACACCTTCAGCCTTGGCTCTGGCTCAGTTTCTTGGCGTTCTACACGCTCGTCTTCAGTTCTCAGCTCCAGTTGTGAGGCTGAGATCTACGCCACAGCCATGGCTGCACAGGAGTTACGCTGGCTCACCTACCTGCTGACCGACTTGGGAGAGCGGCCTCGTTCTCCTCCAGTGCTGTACGTCGACAACAAGGCTACCATTGCCTTGTGTGAGGAGCACAGACTGGAGCACATGACGAAGCATATCGCTCTACGTTAATTTCTGGCCCGAGAGTTACAGCAGCGTGGTCAGCTTCGTCTGCGTTACGTGGCCTCTCAGGCCAACACTGCTGATATATTCACCAAGGCACTTCAGTCTGGTGATCATCAGCGTTTCTGCACTTTGCTAGGGCTTGTGCCCACTTTTCCTCACTTGTTGTAGACTTTGCCTGTACTGTGATCTATATATCTATACCTGCATGCTTGTTACACATAGATCACTGTGATGTTTCTGCTATATATATGCCTCTGCATGTGAACTGGCCTTGTGGTCCTTTGCTTGTGCTCAGAGTGTGTGGTGACGTTGTGATCCACCCTGAGCTTGCTTTGGTTTTCTTGACTGGTCCCGTGACCCCTTGTTCTCCCCCACTTAGCCTATGGGGGTGTGTCAAACATTATATATGTTTCTCTTGTGTAGGCTACAGTGGGTTAGCCTTTAGGGGGTACATTTCACTAGGGTTTCCTACTTGTACTCCAACAACTTTCTAGTTCACCACTTCTTGATTCTGACACTCGGTACAGGCCACTCCTCTGGCTACAGGTCACTCGCTTTCAGCTCCACCTTCGGACGAGTCCATAGAGCCGAGTGGTCCTTACCCAGAGCTAGTTGGCTGCCTCATGTACCTGATGACCTGCACTCGTCCTGACCTCGCTTACCCTCTTGGCCTTCTGGCTCGCTACGTGGCTCCTGGTCGACACTGAAAGGTGCACATGGATGCTGCTAAGAGGGTACTGCGCTACTTGTGCAGTACATCGGGCATGGGGCTCGTGCTTGGAGGACGGGGCGACGTTGTCCTCACTAGTCACTCGGACGCTTCTTGGGTTGACGACTAGGCTACGCAGCGATCGTCACAGGGTTACACCTTCAGCCTTGGCTCTGGTTCAGTTTCATGGCGTTCTACACGCTCGTCTTCTGTTCTCAGCTCCAGTTGTGAGGCTGAGATCTACGCCACAGCCATGGCTGCACAGGAGTTACGCTGGCTCACCTACCTGCTGACGGACCTGGGAGAGCGGCCTCGTTCTCCTCCAGTGCTGTACGTCGACAACAAGGCCGCCATTGCCTTGTGTCAGGAGCACAGACTGGAGCACAGAACGAAGCACATCGCTCTGCGCTACTTCCTGGCTCGAGAGTTGAAGCAGCGTGGTCAGCTTCGTCTTGCTCACGTGGCCACTCGGGCCAACACTGTTGATATATTCACCAAGGCACTTCCGTCTGGTGATCATCAGCGTTTCTGCACTTTGTTAGGCCTTGTGCCCACGTTTCCTCACTTGTATACTTTGCTTGTACTGTGATCTATATATATACCTGCATGCTTGCTCTGCTAGGTAGAGATCACTGTGCTATTCTTGTTGCATATATATCTCTGCATGTGAATTGGCCTTGTGGCCTCTTGCTTGTGCTCAGTGTGTGTGGTGACGTTGTGAACCACCCTGAGCTTGCTTTGCATTTCTTGACTGGTCTTGTGACCCTCTGTTCTCCCCCACTTTGCCTATGGGGGTGTGTCAAACTATATATATAATATTAGGGTGTAGGCTGTAGTGGGGTAGCACATATGGGGTACAACACATTGCTAGGGTTTTGTAGTTTACCCAATCTTCCCAATAGTCAACCATTCCTGACTAGTTTCTGCACCTTCACTTCCTCCACTTGCTTCGTACTCTCTCCTCCATCTCTTCTCTATTCAGCTGCTGCAATCGGTAATTTTCAAGTTCAAGTCGCCAAAAACAGGGTTACCCTACTTGTTTTGAGAAAATTCTCGCGACCCCAGGCAATCGTCCTACGATAACGGAACCCGAGTGCCCAAAACCAGAACTGACGCGATGATCGCCAACCATTTGTACTGTTCACCACTCACATAACTTGCTTACCAAGTAGTACTCATAGGCTAGGAGGCTCCAAGGCAAAAACAAGTGCTAGTTGGCAAAAGCGAGTCGTTGATAGGCTTTATTTTTTGTGCGGAAGGAAATATAAGTCCACCTCAACCATCTTAGTCAGTGCACGCTCCGATCTCTCCCTCACGTCACCGGTCTCGTGTTACAACCCGTACACCCACGGCACTTACGTTAGTAAACGAGATTCGCGTTACTCGAGTCTTGCATTCAAGCTCGCGTTGCACACGCAGGCTCTTGTCACACTTGCTGCCATTCAGCCTCGTGTCACGATCGTACCGTTTTAGGCACGGGTCGCTCACGCGAATGCCGTACTGGTTCGCGTGACGCACTCAGCCGTTAGTCGCACATGTTCCTCCTCGTCGGCCGCTCTTGCCCACGCCAGACCGCTTTCCTCGTCGCCCGCGCTTTCCCTCATCACCCTTCCCGACCCTCTGGTCGCATATGTTCCCCTAGTTGCCCGCGCTCTCCCACGTTAACCACACATCCCCTCGTCGCAATTGCTGATAGTAAACATACCGCGCTTCAGATCGTCACCCGCGCTCCCCTCATCACCCTCGTCGACCCGCACCGATCCTCGCCACCCTCACCTCCCTTGGTCACCCACATTCCCTCTCGTCGCTCGCGCTTCCCCTCATCACCCGTGCCGACCCTCGGCGCCCTCGCCTCCCCTCGCCGCCCTCGCCTCCCCTCGTCGCCCGCGCGTCCCGTCGTCGGGCTTGCCTCCCAGTCACTCGCGCTTCCCCTCGTCATCCGCGTTTCCATCCACTCTTCCCCTCTCCCCATCGCACCATCTCCACCCGTCCTTCCTCCCTCATTCCTTCCGAAGGGGTGGGACAGATGGGGAGGAACAGATGGGGAGGAACAGATGGGGAGGAACAGATGGGGAGGAACAGATGGGGAGGAACAGATGGGGAGGAACAGATGGGGAGGAACAGATGGGGAGGAACAGACGGGGAGGAACAGACGGGGAGGAACAGACGGGGAGGAACAGATGAGGAGGAACAGATGGGGAGGAACAGATGGGGAGGAACAGATGGGGAGGAACAGGTGGGGAGGAACAGATGGGGAGGAACGGATGGGGAGGAACAGATGGGGAGGAACAGATGGGGAGGAACAGATGGGGAGGAACAGATGGGGAGGAACAGATGGGGAGGAACAGGTGGGGAGCAACAGATGGGGAGGAACAGATGGGGAGGAACAGATGGGGAGGAACAGAGGTGGTCGCTTCCGCCACCACAATCGAACAACGTTTTGATCCCCTCTCTGCTCCCCACCATCCTCCTCCCAACTCTCTCCCCAGCACCTGCCCCCGTTCCCCCCATCCTCTTCCCTGTTTCCCCATATCCCCTGCCGTGCTTCCCCCCATCCTATCCCCTCTTCCCCCGTATCCCCTGCCCTGCTTACCCCCATCCCCTTCCCTGCTTCCCCCCATCCCCTTCCCTGCTTCCCCCCATCCCCTTCCCTGCTTCCCCTAATCCCCTTCCCTGCTTCCCCTCATCCCCTCCCCTGCTTTCCCCCATCCCCCTCCCTGTTTCCCCCCATCCCCTTCCCTTCTTCCCCCCATCCCCTCCCTTGCTTCCTCTCATCCCCTTCCCTGATTCCCCCCATCCCCTTCCCTGCTTCACCCCATTCCCTCCCCTGCTTCACCCCATCCCATCCCCTGCTTCCCCCCATCCCCTCCCTGCTTCCCCCCATCACTTTCCCTGCTTCCCCCCATCCCCTGCCCTGCTTCCCCCCATCCCCCTCCCTGTTTCCCCCCATCCCCTTCCCTGCTTACCCCCATCCCCTTCCCTGCTTCCCCCCATCCCCTTCCCTGCTTTCCCCCCATCCCCTTCCCTGCTTCCCCCCCTGCTGCCTCCCATCACTCTCATTCTCCTTCCTCCCGCACTCACTCTCTCAGTCCTCTCGCACTCTCTCTCGCTCCGTCCTCTCGCACTCGCACTCTCCTTCCCACCACCCTCAGCCCTCCTTCCCCTCACCCTCTCCCCTGTTTCCACCTGCCCTCGCCATCCCTGCTTTTCCCTCCCTGCCCTGCCCTTCACTTCTCCATCCCTTCTCAACCCTTCCCTTTCATGTCATGCCCTCCCCTTCCCGCTCATCTTCCGCCCTCCAGTTACCATGCATGTGCACCCATCACTGTCTCCCCATACCGGTACCGTATTCTCCCGGACAAAACACCCCCCCATAATTGTACACCCCCGGGTAGCTTGTGCGGGGTGGGTGTTATGATAGACCTCGTTTCTACTATACCCCCCTTTTTGGCTGATTTTCTATAACACCCCCCTTTTCTTACGGATTCATTATCGCGGTACATTCAAATGCAATCTGCCGAGATTTGCCCCCTCCCACTATTTTGCTGTCACCACGTGCAGGTGAATCTTCCGCTGCAAGTGGCGAGAGAGGTGCCACATGGCATTTTCGTGGGGGTGATGAATTTCGAGGCCGAAACTCACATTCGCGCCTCGGGCAGTGATGTTAAAATGACAGCAAAACACCCACATTGACTAATTAAAAAAACACTAACACTAAAATATGCCATATGTTAAGACCCGGGTATTATGTATTTTTTTCCTATGAGCAGAAACCCCCTTTTTTTCCCTGTATTTTTTGCTATACCCTAGGGTGTTATGTCCGGGAGAATACGGTACATGCTTTCATCATGTGTGCTTGCTTGTGTTCCCCTGCAGTTGTTCCCTTGGCACCTCACACCACCTCCCCCATGTTCCGTCACACAATTCTTTCTGCCTACTCCACTCCCCTAATTTTCAGTGGGGAAGCAGAGGAGCAAGCTGAGGCGCAGCTAGAGCTAGTCCATGCTTTACGCCGTACCACCACCTGTTTCTTGTGTGTTGTATGCAAGCAGGCCCTACGATATCAGGAATTTTTCCCTGAAATTCCTGATTTTCAGGGTTTTTTTTGTACCTACCCTGATTTTCCAGTGTTCAGCTTTTTGGGGGACTGATTTTTCAGTCTTTAGGGGCCAGATGACTCTGAACTTTCAGTTTTTTTTTTTAAGGACACTGATTACACTACGTTGTAACGAAACTGACACTGAATGTGGCAGCAGCACCTCCAGCAAGAGAGGGGGAGGGCAGTGGCAATGACAAGGGAAAGGAGGCAGATGAGGAGGAGTTGGAAGAACCAGAGACTAACTGCAGTGATGATGATGAGTGAATGAACCCTCTGTTGCTGATGCTTGCTAGCTAGTTAGTGTTAGCTAGTTAGTGGTATTTGAAGTTCAATATCAGCCTTTACAAAAAGGGAACACTGATGCATCAGACTTTTTTCTGAAGGTAACACTGAATTTTCAGGCTTTTTTTGGGGGGGACACTGACGATCAGGGATTCTACACAGAGGGACCCTGATGCATTAACGTGCCTAAAAGTGAATCATAGGCCCTGTATACAAGCATGATACTGTATTACTGTTGGAGATATCCATCTCAAAAGCACAATATGTTTCTGCAGTGCAAGATATTCTTCCAAGATGCATGGGCATTAAGAGTGTCAGAAGGGTAGATAGAGGCATGATCCTACTTTTGATTGTATCCTTCTCAAGGCCTTGAAAAAAACATGAGGGATGGGATGGTGGGCTTTGGCAAGTTGCTGTGCCATAAAATCTTCATTGGTTTCACTGCACTACCTAGGGAGAGGGAGGGAATACGAGGGATGGGGAGGGGGAACAAGACTAAAGTCAAACAGGGGAGATAGGGAAGAGGGGGAAGAGGGAAGCAGGGCTGAGAGGGAAAGAAGGAAGTGCCGTAAGAAGAGGGAGGATAGGGAAGAGGGGGAGAGGGAAAGTGTGAGATATGGTAGGAAGATGAAACGAGGTGAAGAAGAGGGGGAAACGAGGGGAAGCAGGGGGGGAAACGAGGGAAAGCAAGGGGGGAAACGAGAGGAAGCAGGGGGGGAAACGAGGGAAAGCAAGGGAGGGAAATGAGGGGCCAGCAGCGGGGAAAATGAGGGGAAGCGGGGGGGGTGGGGGAAGGGAAATGAGGGGAAGCTGGGGGGAAAATAAGGGAAGCAGGAGGGTACAAACAGGGATAGCAAGATGGGAAATGAGGTGAAGCAGTGAGGGAAATGAGGTGAAGCAGGGAGGGAAATGAGGTGAAGCAGTGAGGGAAATGAGGTGAAGCAGTGAGGGAAATGAGGTGAAGCAGTGAGGGAAATGAGGTGAAGCAGTGAGGGAAATGAGGTGAAGCAGTGAGGGAAATGAGGTGAAGCAGTGAGGGAAATGAGGTGAAGCAGTGAAGGAAATGAGGTGAAGCAGTGAGGGAAATGAGGTGAAGCAGTGAGGGAAATGAGGCGAAGCAGTGAGGGAAATGAGGTGAAGCAGTGAGGGAAATGTGGGGAAGAGGGGGAGAAAGGGTGGGCCATGGGCCTAGAGGGCCGTGAGAGAGGGGGGGGGGGTGGACAGTGGCAGGCTGGAGGGGAGCAAGAGAGGAGGAGGGGAGTGGCATGGGGAGCAGAGCAGAGCAGCATTGCGACCTGCCTGCAGCAGTGCGACCTGCCTGCAGCAGTGCGACCTGCCTGCAGCAGTGCGACCTGCCTGCAGCAGTGCGACCTGCCTGCAGCAGTGCGACCTGCCTGCAGCAGTGCGACCTGCCTGCAGCAATGCGACCTGCCTGCAGCGTCATCCCCCACAGCGGAGATGAGGAAGGGCGCGGCGGAGAGTGCTGCCATGCACTCCGCTATGTTGTGCGCCACCCCCCCTGCGAGGAGGAACAGGGGAAGGGCGCGGCGGGCAGAGAGAAAGGAAGGAGGAGGGGGAGAGGGGGAGAGGGGGAGAGGTTGAGACATGCCGCAGTGGACGCCACTCCACCCTCGAATTCCTTTCTCCTGCCCTCCTCCCTGCCTCATGCGGGAGGAAGAAACGGGTGGGGGAAAGGGAGGAAGGGGAAAACCATGAGGGGTAGGGGTTGGAAAGGGGCGGGGGCGGGTGGAGGTTTGGCGAGAAGGGGAATAGGAACCAGAGCATAGGGCGCAGAGCATAGTGTCAAGATAGCAAGCAGGAATGAATGAACTAGGTCAAAGTTTGGTACAAGTATGAAACCCTAAAGGGGCTAAACCCCATATTGGCTACCCCACTACAGCCTACACATATATATAATTTGACACACCCCCATAGGCAAAGTGGGGGAGAGCAAGGGGTCACAAGACCAGTCAAGAAAAGCAATGCAAGCTCACGGTGGATCACAACGTCACCACACACACTGAGCAAAAGCAAAGGCCCACAAGGCCAGTTCACATGCAGAGGTATATATATACCAACAACAACACATTGATCACTACCTAGCAAGAACAAGCATGCAGGTATATATATATATACATACAGGTCACAGTACACGCAAAGTCTACAGCAATTGAGGAAACGTAGGCACAAGGCGTAACAAAGTACAAAAGCGCTGATGATCACCAGACGGAAGTGCCTTGGTGAATATATCAGCAGTGTTGGCCTGAGTGGCCATGTGAGCAAGACGAAGCTGACCACGCTGCTGCAACTCTCGAGCAAGGAAGTAACGCAGAGCGATGTGCTTTGTTCTGTGCTCCAGTTTGTGCTCCTGACACAAGGCAATGGCGGTCTGCGTACAGAACTGGAGGAGAACGAGGCCGCTCTCCCAAGTCGGTCAACAGGTAGGTGAGCCAGCGTAGCTCCTGTGCAGCCATGGCTGTGGCGTAGATCTCAGCCTCACAACTGGAGCTGAGAACAGAAGACGAGCGTGTAGACCGCCACGAAACAGAGCCAGAGCCAAGGCTGAACGTGTAACCCTGTGATGACCGCTACGCAGCCAGTACCCTCTTAGCAGCATCCATGTGCACCTTTCGGTGCCTACTAGGAGCCATGTAGCGAGCCAGACGGCCAAGAGGGTACGCAAGGTCAGGTCGAGTGCAGGTCAACAGGTACATGAGGCAGCCCACTAGCTCTGGGTACGGACCACTCGGCTCTACGGACTCGTCCGAAGGTGGAGCTGAGAGCGAGTGGCCTGTAGCCAGAGGAGTGGACTGTGGCGAGGACCAGGTGAAGCCGAAGCGCTGAAGGACCTGCTGCACCATGTGTGACTGAGTCAGTGTGATGGTGCGGCGTGCTCTGTCCCGGGTGATCTGCAAGCCAAGGTAACTGCGCAGCTTATCCAGGTCTGTGCACGTGTGTCTCTTCCGCAGCTCCGACTTCACCAGGGCGAGAGCCTTAGTGTCAGCAGTGGCAAAGACCAAGTCGTCGATGTACACGAGGATGTAGAACTGCGGCAGTGAAGTGTTAGTGCGCAGAAACAGCGACGGGTCAGCAGTGGAAGGGGCGAATCCAAGAGCCGCAAGCGTCGTCCTCAGTGTGTCGTGCCACTCACGAGGCGCCTGGCGGAGACCGTAGACCGGCCGACGGAGGCTCCACTGGGTACCAGGAGGGAACGACCCAGTGAAGCCAGGTGGGCGGCGCAGCCAGATCTCCTCGTGGAGACTGCCCTGTAAGAAGGCTGTGCTGAAGTCCAGAGAGTGAAGCTCGTAGTCACGCTGAGCGCCGACGTGCAGCAGAACCCGAAGAGTGGTCATCTTTGGGGTGGGGGAGAAGGTCTGGAAGAAGTCAACTCCCTGTCGCTGACTGAAGCCTCGTGCAACGTAACGAGCCTTGAAGACAGGCGGAGAACCCGGCGGCCGCTTCACCCTGAAATTCCACATGCCATCGACGATGTTCGCCCCAGGAGGGGGAACCTCATCGACGTAAGTGCCTGTGGACTTCCAGGATGCCATCTCTCCGTCCATGGCTGTCTGCCACTGAGAGGAGTAGGGACCCGAAATCGCCACTGCGTAAGAGCGCGGGGTCGGGATGTCTGGAGCATTCGGGTCTCCCTCAGGGGCAAGCAGCCTTGCCACGAGATGAGGTACAGCAGCCGCAAGACACTCAAAGTCCTCCTGCCTGTCCTCAAGGACGTCCGTGCCAAGAGCATACTCACCCTCGACGGACAGAGGACAGACAAACTCAGACTCAGCAACAAGACTAGCAGCGAAGTCTAGATGACAGACAGCAGTAAAGTCAACAAGCTTAGCGACTAAAGCAGACGCAACAGTGGACTCAAACGAAGGTTCAGTGACAATAGTGGCAAGCAGACGCGTGATAGTAGGGTGAGCAGCACGAGCGCGGTCAGACTCAGGGTCTGAAACGTCAGGCAGAGAAGACGCAGGAGGGGACGGCAAAGGAACACGCTGTGGAGCAGAGGAAGGACGCAGAGCCATGAGTTGCGTGCCGGGGACAGCCGGCGGACGCTCACGAGAAACACGACGACGAGTACGACCAGTGCGGACAGTGCGAACAAGCGAGACAGGACGAGACGCAGGCTCACGACGCTCAGCAAGACCCCCTGTCTGCTCAGTGTAAGGAGAAGGAGCAGGGAGTGGAGAGCCAGGCTGTAACAGAAGACTAGTAGAAGACAGGAGGCTAAGAACCTGGCGCAGCACAAAGTCAGGCGGCGGCAGAGACGAAGGTGACGGCGGAGCGAAGAACAGTTGCGGCTGAGTAGTGCCACCAGCACCAGTAGCTCCAGCACCTCCTGCAGCTCCAGAACCTCCAGTGCCAGCACCCCCAGCAGCTCCAGAACCTCCAGCTCTAGCACCTCCAGTACTAGTACCTCCAGCAGCTCCAGAACCTCCAGCTCTAGCACCTCCAGTACTAGTACCTCCAGCAGCTCCAGAGCCTCCAGCTCCAGCGCCACCAGAAATCTCTCCAACGACGCCATTAAAGGCTCCTTGGAGGTGATCGAGGATGCTACTACTCAAGGACTCGTTCCTTCTAATCTCGTTCGGAGGTGTTCGGAGGTGTTGGAGGTGTTCCCGACCAGCTCCACCGCCGCCGCTGCCACCGCCACCACCGCCGCTACCGCCGCCTCCTCCGCTCCCACCGCCACCGCCGCCCCCGCCTCCGCCTCCACCGCCGCCACCGAAGCCCCCACCCCCACCACCACTCCCACCGCCACCCCCACCCCCTCCGCCGCCTCCACCGCCACCTCCACCGCCCCCGCCAGCTCCTCCAGCGCCCCTGCCCCCCTTGCCCTTGGCGTTGCGGCGTCTCCCGCTAGGGGCAGACGCAGCGCCGACCGACTCGGTGCCAACGAGGTCGACCGCAGCAGCAGAGGCAACAGAGGGCAAAAGGGGGGAGGGGGAGCACCCCTCAAAGAAGGGGGCACGAGGGTCACCACGAGAGGCTCCTACAGCGACTATACTCTTCTCAGCTGCCAAGAGGCGCTCCTCGAGGAGGTCAACGGTGAGTGTGGTGGGGCGAACAGAGAGGAACTGGTCCCTGACCGAGCAAAGGGAGTCAGGGAGCCGGGTGACTAGGTAGTAGAGGGTGATGTACATGGGGGGGGGGGGTTCTTGGCGCAGAACTCAACAGGAAGCGCAGCGCGGTAGCGGGTGTCACTAGTGCGAAGGTGCGTAATGAGGTGAGCGACTGTGGGAAAGGTGGCGAGGTCAGGGAACAGGTACGGCAGCATGAGGCGACTAAGGGCAGTAGTGGCAGGGGAAGAGTAGCGTGCAACTACAGCGTTGTACAAGGTCTTAGCACTCTTGTACTGACTAAAGTGCGCGCGCTCAGAGGACGGCAAGTGACTACGCACAGCAAGACGGGCAGCAGCATCGCGTGTGGCCCACTGTGAGCGAACAGTACTGTCAGCATCGGCAGCAGGGGCAGCAGAGGCGCCAGACGTGAGATCGAACAGTGAGAGACCATCTTTTCTATCGCACTGCAGGAAAAGCTGCAGATCATCGACCCAGACCTCAATGTCGACAGCCCAACCCTCAGCATCAAAGATGAGCACACTTGGGGTAGCCATGACAGCAGCAGCAGCAGGCTAGCAGTGGCAGCAGCAGGTTAGGAGCAGCTCAGCAGGAGAGGCGTGACTCGGCGGTGCTCTTACCAGGGGCGGGTGGGTAGAGGTCCGCAAGCGGTGGGGCAGGGCCGAGGCGCGCCGGCAGGGACAGGGCCGCGACAGGGCGGCAGAGGAGTGCCGCGCCTCGGCTGCAGGGTAGGGCCGGGACGGCGGCGGCGGCTGTCACGGCAGCGGCAGCGGCGGTTGTCTCAGCAGGAGCGGCGGCAGCTGTCACGGCAGTAGCGGCGGCGGCGACCGGTCGTAGAAGAAGCAGCAGCGGCAGCAGGCGCGACGGGAGCTGCTGCTGGGGCGGCGACGGCGGGGCGGCAGGGCCGTGAAGAGCCGGGGAGGGGCCGCTAAGGGGCCGCGACGAGCCGCGAAGGAGCCGCGGAGGGGCCGTGAAGGAGCCGCGAAGGGCCGCGAAGGGCCGCGGAGGGGCCGCTAAGGGCGGCGAAGGGGCCTAGAAGGGGCCGTGAAGGGGCGCAGAAATCGTCTGCAGTGGCTCGTTCCTTCGAGTAATCTCTCTATCGCGCGTCAAATTCCCTTCTTCAGAGTCTGAAGCCTCTTCGACTCCAGTACCAGCACCACCAGCAGCAGCACCCCCAGAACCGGCACCTCCAGCCCCAGGGTCTCCAGCCTCAGTGTCTCCAACAGCAGCACCCCCAGAACCGGCACCTCCAGCTCCAGGGTCTCCAACCTCAGGGTCGACACCACCACCTCCAGGTCCAACACTAGCTCCAGCCCCAGCAGCTCCAGTACCTCCAGTAGGAGTACCTCCGGGAACAGGGGGTCCAGGAACTCCAGTAGAAACACCTCCAGTAGCAGAGTCACCAGCTCCAGTGCTCCCAACGCCAACGCCTCCCGCAGCAGGGCGTCCAGCTCTAGCAGCGCGACCCTGACGGCTAACGTACCACTCACGCAGCTGCTGTGGGGAGAGAGGGAGACGCCGACGAGAGTGCTGCGGCGAGGCACCAGCAGAGCGACTACGGAGACGGCCACTCCAAGGAGACTGCTCACCAGACGCCTCAGTGCCCCCCGGCGCAGCACCCCCAGACGCAGGACCCCCAGGCTCAGCACCCCCAGACCCCTCACGCCCAGGCTCAGCCCCTCCAAGCTCCGCACCCTCAGGCTGAGCAC